AAAGAAAAAAATTAAATTCAAATAATTAAAAAAAAGTTTTTATATCAGCAGAGCTAGATACAAAACACTAAGAAGTCTATTCTCAACAGAAATAAATTTATCCCAACTGTAACTGTTGCTAGAAATTATAACAAAATGTGTAATTACTCACCGTTTTACATGGAGATTGTAATGTTGGTCTGTCCCAGTCAAACAAAGCAGTCACATCCTCAAGGCACATTTTTATTTTCTCACTCGGTCGCTTGTGTCCTTACATTAGCATAAAATTAATTAAAAATGAGTATTGGGTATGTATTTTGTTAAAAAAAAATTTAAAACAATTTTTGACCCCATTATTTTAGTAATATTAGCACGGAGCACTACTTCAGTTATTTTATTACGGAGAACTTATTTTTCTATTTTAGTAAACATTCAGCGATGATTTTTCATTTGGGATAATTTTGGACATATACCTTCAGACTTCATATAAGTAGAAAAGTAAGTTTTATTCCGGGTGGATTCTTTAATCGCATTCTCCACTACGATACGTAATCTCTCTTCTAGAGCTGATTCTAGGTTCTCCCAATTCTCCGTGTTCAACTCAACAAAACTTCCAGATATCTGCTCCGGGGTAGGATAGAAGTCAGTAGAACTAAAAAACCTAAAAAACAAAATATAATTTTTTCTTTTCTTTCTTCTGGCTGGCCGACAAATATCAAGCATGAATCTCACCTGAACCCGAAGTGAGGAAGGTTTCTATGATCTAAGTTGAGACGGTTTACTCCGACCAAGAGAATCCGGAGACAGGTTTGTTTTATCAGATTGAGCCTAATCTCCTGGTCCTCCTCCTGAACTAGATCTCCTTGAACCGGTAGAACCTGGTCCAGGTCAAACAGAAACAGCACCTGATCCATTCTGTAGACCTTGCAAGATAGTCTAAGCTAACCAAACATTCTGAAATAATGCATAACTTTATTCGAGGCATAAGAAACAATTTACTTCCAATAAATTCTTTACAAAAACTGAAATCTTAAAAATTTGCAAACAAAACCAAAAAACAACAACGATATTTCGAGAAACAAAAATTTAATAGAAAATAAATTTAGATAATATTTTTTTTAAGTAAACCTAACAACTGACTGTTTTCATTTACATACGAGAGATAAAATTTCCGAACAATGCTTTACATTTTCACGAGCCTTCTTAAAGGATAATTTTCATAACATAAAATATCTCTTTAATTATTTTTCCGACAATAATGAATCACATAGGAAAGAAGGATTTGATCTATGCTGCTCTCATCACGAACTCCGTTAGTTTCTCCGATGATCATGGCCCAGGACCGTGTAGATTGTGCATTTAAAGTTTTCTTTCCTACCCTCTTTAGACCTTTAACCTCCTTGCTATTAACCCCTGGAGTACCAAGTAGAATCTGACAAAGGATCAATGATTTGGAACCAGTCGCATAGTCGACACTTACCTCCGGCATTTCAGAAAAGTAAATACCGAATCCGTATGCAGCACGTTTCACTGATTCAAGCTTGAAGTTGTTCCTCAATATTGGATCGATATTACTTTCATTGGTTCCATGAAACCCAAACACAGGATCAGATGGGATTCCTAACAAACGGAAATAGTTTTGTTTCTGCTTGAATCTTGCCTCCAGGTCTGGGTTCTGCACCATTGTTACACTACTTACAGCGTAAGAATTGTGTCCGAACAAACGATGAAAGATGCCAGATGCGATGTTAAAATGAACATCCTGCGGATTACTCATATCAGAAGTCCGTTTTGGAAAAATCTGAGTAGTCTTGAATTGTAAGGAGATGGGAAAGTTAATGTTTAATCCAACCTGAGAACCTTTATCCTCTCCACTGCTCTCACAGAATATTTCATCCACTTTGGTCTCAAACCTTGCCTCTAGTTCCTCAAGTCCGTTGAAAGGTTGGACCAATACTTGAGCTATTTGCTCCTGAACCCACTTAACTTTATGAGAGGAAAAAGATTCTCTAGCTCTGAAACCTTCTCCTTGGTGAACTTTTCAACCATTGGAATCTCTAGTTGCTCTGCGTCTAAATTAACGCTGAGCTCCTCTTCTTGTGCTACTCCTGTCCGCAAACTAACTCCAGGTTCAGTTAAGGGACCTGGACTGCTACTAGGTGACTGTTTATCCCTAGGATCGGCAGCCCTAGCCTTATCTAAACAATCTTCAACATTGTTCTTCTGTGGAGACACTGCATTATACAGTTGTATCCAGTCTGGAGGAGGTTCAGGATTGTCACACAATTCAAGAATCAGGTTTTCTACGTTTTCCGCGTCATCTCTCTGAGCTCTGATCAATCTATTATTCAACTTAATTAAAACATATTTAAAAATTAGTAAAAAATAGAACTGGATCTCTAGAGAACTTTAAAAATACTGCTGATTGTTCCTAAGGTAAAGGTATTGCGGATCAATGCCAGGAAACATTTCAACAAGGGTTGCTGTGGTTTCCATTATCCGTGCTGAGTTTGTATCTTCATATTTAGATGACGGACCCTGAACAGGTTCTCCAGCATTGACTTGATGCTCATATCCATCCTGACGGAGATCTCCAAGCTTAATTCTTCCTGAACTAACACTGGGTTCAACATCTTCATCCTCAGTCCGTTCTCTTTTTCGTCCCTTTACTCCTCGTCCATCAATGCTTTTCCCTTTCTCCATGGAGATTGTAATGTTGGTCTGTCCCAGTCAAACAAAGCAGTCGGGTGCACCTTGTAAGATTTAAGGTAGGATTCATTACCGAGGATATTTTCTCTGATGTATTCTCTTCTTGAGTTAAACTCCTCCTGCTCTCCTCCGACTGTTGAGCTAGGTTCCGAACAAAAGCACCCCGGGACAGTTTTCTGTTTAGCTCCACAGGACGAGAATTCAACCCAACTCCAGAGGATTTACTACTATGACTCGCAGAACTACCGGTTGATAACTCGGAAAAACGTTTCTTCAGCTCAGTCTTCCCCCTGGAGTCAGAACTGAACCTGAGAGAAAGTTACAATTTACCTAGCACGATTAGATTTGATTAATTAATAAATTATGTTTAAAAAAGTATTGAACGAACCTCTCTGAGTTTACTTCAGATATTCCACTATCTTTCTTCGTCAAGCTGGAGGAAACAAGAACAGGATCTAAAAAGATGTTTTTAAGTTTATGTATTTTCAATAAAAAATGTAAAAAAATTTATAAAATGAAAAAAATGTGATTACCTTTTGCAACATAGCTCTCACGCACCTTCTGCATGAGTGAGAAGGTTTCGTTATGTCTCCGTCTAACATTCTGCTCTTTTATTCGTCGGATCAAACCAGAACACGCAGAATTAGGTATTCTCCATTTTTCTATAGCATTAGCATCCCAGAACCGACCCTGTCTAATCTCTGATGGTACTGGAGAAGGTTCAGGAACATCGGAGATATTCTCTAGGATGTCCTTACAACTGTCAGGCAGCAGGATGGGTTCAAGTTTATATTTTCTCATTCTAAGAACACAACTCAAGAAATTAGAATCACTTTTCTCAAGGAGCTGCAGAACTCCGCTAGTCTCGTCCTCACAAATTAAGATGAACATATTAGGATTATTTTCACAGTTGACTATTCCTGTCCGGTCAGTACGATGTAGATATCTTAAGATGGAGAGGGCCTCGGAACTTTCTCCCCAAACCTGAAAACTTGATTGAACCCTAAACTGGATATTAAGAACAGATCTTGGGAGATATCCTTGGCAGACTAGATTTTTAAGCTCATCAGCATCAGAACTATTTGTGTGAAAAGGAACAGAGTTTTCTCCACACCGAAGAGGGACGGAGGAAACAGAAGACTCCAATCCCTTGGCTTTAAACTCCTTGGAGTGAGATAGAAGTACGGAGGATACAGGGAGACTGCAGAGATTGTTAGTTGATGGAATCAAAATCCTAGTTTCTGATTCAGGGACTAAATCTCTTTCTGCCAAGGAGAGAATGGGTATAACGGATCCTCCGAGCTCCTAAATTGATGATAAATTTTACTTCTTTTCAATTAATTTAGATTTTCTTTATTAAACGTCCACTGAATTTAGTTTACCTTGAATACTTTAATAATGTTTCCCCTGACCTCCTGATCTACTGGAGCAGGATTGTGAAACTCGGATGTATCCACAACATTTAGAGTTATGCTCAACTCACCACAGAAAAAAGACCGAACTTTCTGCAAATATGGAAATTATTTTTTATAAAAAGATTATAGAAAGTTTATTTTCTCTCTTGTTAGAATCACAGTTTAAATAATTGACCAATCGAGACTTGATGTGTTTTATATATTTTAACTATATTCGACAGACACATTTCAAGTTTCTTAGAGCTAAAAAGTTAAAAAATTTAAAAAAAAATTTCAAAGTAAAACCTTGACTTGCCTTTGAGAACAGTTGTGAAACTTTGTTCCTATGTGAGATATGATTAATGGAGGAAGGAAGGAACAGTTTCATTTCCTCCAGGTTCCTGGGAATCTTACTGAACAGGAACACAGTGTTCCTTTGCTTAACCTTTTCCTTCCCAGCCTTAAAGCAAGAAATTACGTCAACTAATTCGTTAGACGGCTGAAACACATTCGTAAAACTGCTGAAAAAACCTCTATAAAATTTTACTTTCATTGTAAACTGAGGACACTATGGATCAGTTTTTTTATTTGAACTCAATCGATCGACATTTAAAACAATTTTTGTGAAGAAGTTATAAAAATACTACACTTGTTATTACTCGTCATCTTAACCCTTTTAGATTTT